TCTGAAGTTTTCCAAACCTCCAAGACAGCACATCCCTTCTAAACAGCCACTTATGCACAAGCTCTAGTGTATGAATGGTTATTCCACAAGTTCCTTGAAGTTCTCCAAAAATTATCACTACTTCTTTCACCCTGTGGAAAGTAGAAAGACTGTCATGTTAATAGCTGAGTGTATATGACAACTCAAACAGATATAGTCCTTTTAGGCTAGAGATTCGGGGAGGGGGGAGGTTAATACGTAAAAAATTCCCCTGTAAAGTTATCCTTTCCTTTTGCCAGTGGAAATAAGTTTAATAATGTAACTTCTTAATGCAGTTTGAAGTTGAGTAATGTGTATATTCAAATCAATAAACTTATATTTTTCCTATTCACGTTAATTAGGTTTATTGAGAACAGGATACATTTTAATTTCTTCTGCAGGTTTCCAGACCTTTTAAGTAGAAGTCAGCATATAACACATTTATTTGTTTATTTAGTTATTAGTTTAATTATTTTTAATGTTTGGTTAGGAAAATGTTGTGAAACCTTTAGATTACCAGATATGAAGACCTAAGTCCTCTCTTTATCAATGCAACAACTGATATCTTTGGTGACTAGAGCACTAGAAATTAGCTCATTAAGTACTATTTTTCCCTTTGTTCCCCTGCTGACTTTGACCAGTTGAGTTGGTAGGTATGGGGTTTAGACTAGGGGTTGGCAATGTTTTCCAGTGGGACACTAGAATGACACAGCTTGGATATGAGAAGGGCGGAGACTAGTACCCTACCACCTTTGCCACTTCTACCTGCTGCCCAACTAGACTAGTTCAGAGAAAGCTTCCACTCCACCAAAACCCTGGTGCTTGCCTGCCAAAATCACAGCTCCATGGGGCAGATCCAAAAGTTTTGCAGGCCAGATGTGGCCTTAAGGCTGCAGATTGTTGACCCCCAATTTCAAGAGTTGTTTGGTATGAACTTCACTCAGACCTGCAATTAATTTAAGAAAGCAACCTAAAACCAAACAATCAGACTTAAGGCATTACAGGACAATATGATGCCAATGTATGTAAAAATCCCCCAGGGAATAAGTACAGATATAGAGCAGGGGGTATATGATCACACATTACATTGGAGGGAGCTTATTTTTACTGTATTCCCCCTGATAGTTTCTTGCTATTTCTTAATGTAACCGCCAGGCAGGGCCCAATAGAACACTCAGAGAAATCAATAGAGAGATTTATATTGACTTCAGTGAAGTTTGAATGAGAGTTATAGTAGCTGCAGCAGGGGTGGAGAAGGAGGGGAGAATCATGGTTGGCAAGGTGGGAGGCAAGACAGAGCACAAGGGGGTTCCCCATTAAAAAAGGGCCACAATATACATGCCATATATGATTCAAAATATTTAGACTATAAGTTAGTGCCTTTGCAAAATAAATTACAATCATTAATCCTGTCCTCTCTTCCAAACTATCACAGGCAGCAGAAAGTTGGAATCCTGCCAAATCTGAATTTCTTGTTTATTTAGTTTCATGCTTATATGGAAGAGAATAGGCCTTTGCCTGTGACAATAAATAAACTCTATAGGGCAACCCTACATTACACAGGATATAGTTGAAAAGTCTGTAATTGATGGGATTTCCATTACTGCATGGCATGGTATACACAATAATGAGATCATTGGAAAAATCTTTTTAAATGTATTAAATGATAACTTGACAAAGCAAGCAACATTCCTATTATAAAACCATAAAAACTTGATTCCCTGAAAGTGCTTAGTGGTAAAAGCATGGCAAATGTTATCTTTCGCAGGCATAAGTAGAATAACTACATTTAAAATTAAGATAAATGTATGAAAAACTGGTGTAAACTTTTCTTAGTGAAATGATAAGTGAAATTTTTGACATTTTGTTCAGGTCATTTTAAAGTACAGAAAGTAACTTTATATGCATTTTAAAAGAATTATCATGTTCTTTAAAAAAAAGGAAAAAAGCACCCTCAAGCAGGATGTTTGAATTAGTACTTTAAATGTGGGACTGCTTCTGTTTGAAAAATGGTGCCTAAAACAAAATGTTCAGGAAAATTAGCAAACTGGCACAAAAGAAAGACCCCATATCTATGACAATATGTGAAAAAATCTAAGTTTTTGTTTACTGAAATGCATTTTTCACTTGCACTGTAAAGCCCATTTTCCATAAATATATGCAAGCAAATACATAACCTAAATTGCATATGTTAAAGGCCTACTTCTGTAAAAGTGTGCACGTTTTTAAGTTTACACATTATGAATAGTCATAATGTGTAGTTATGTATATGTCCAATATGTGTGTGACAGGCTAGCTGGCAGTGACCTAGCCCAGGGGTTTTGAAAGGGCAAAAGACAATTGGAGGACTTGGGACCAATCTGGTAATGATTTGGCCCAGGGGTTTTGAAGGGGTAAAAAATGATTGGAGGACTTGGGATTCCCTTTCCACACCAATCAGGCCCCAGAGACTCACCCTCCGTGTCCCCTGATTGGCCCCTTGGGTCACCTGGAGGGGGATAAAAGGGATAGCAAGGGTAACTCAGGGGAGACCAGTGAGGGACCACAAGGAAGGAGCTTCAAAGAGCTGAGCCAGTAGGGCAGAAGTTGTTGCCCCAGAAGAGCCTGAAGGAGCAGGACCCGCAGGCAGCAGCTAGACCCTTAGCAGCGTGGTGTGCAGCTGGCAGGAGAGGCTCCCCACTGAGCTCTAGGATCCCCTACGAGAGGCTGTAGCCAGCAGGAGAGGCTCCCCAGCTCCAGCAAGGATCTGAACAGCGACCTGAGAGGTTCCCAGTTCTGCTTCCAGTTCCTCCAATCAGAGGTCAGGCAGCTTGACGTGAGGCTGGGGCTCTGGGAAGGTCACGACCCCTAGAAGATCAAAACAGTGCCACCTTTGGTGGCTGTGTGGCAGCACTTCTGCCTATTGTGTGGGAGACCTGAGGTCAAGTCCTAGTGATGGAGATTTGGGAGTGAGTGAACTAACAAGAAATAAATCCTCTTGCAGTGGAAAGAGACCATTGTGTTTTCCCCTTCCAGGTATCTAGGCCCTATATTTCCCTTGTCATTTGACATTTTTATATTTCACCAACCAGTGTTGTTTACTCTGCTGTTTGTGTTTTATATTTTGTTAACCCTGTCTTTTGTCAGTGATTGTAAGTGTCTAACCTTTGTTGAATCCTGCCCCCTTGGGGCATTGTAGTGTCCACTATACCCTCTGATTTATGCCTGTTATGTTCCTGGTATTGTTCCCTCATTAAAAGGTATATGGTTAAGTCCCCATTGGTGGTCTGGCTCTGCTCTATAGGGGGAGGAGAGTCCTTACACCTCCCACAGTGCTTGTGCACCTGTTTTGATTTCTTCAACTGGAGAGGGGGTACCTCTTGGAGTACCGCCCAGGTTACATGTGCATAAATCTTTACAGGACTGGAGCTATAATTTGTTCAGGCCTTTGCCACAGTTGCACTTGCACTCTAGGGGAGCATCCAAATGAGCCTGCACGTGCCTCTTGCAGCGTCTCAAACTCCTTTGAGATGCTGCAAGAGGCATGTGCAGGAACGAGAAAATGTTATCAACTGGCCCATGTCTCAGTGCAAGGTTGACCAGCTCCTTTTATCATCTTTCCACTCCTGTTCAGAGGTAGAATCTGGCCCCAGCAATTCTTAACAAGAAAAAGCTCTTTTGGGGAGAACTATCCATTGAAATTCACAAACTGTGCCTATAATTTCCTAACAGCTATGGAAATGTTCCTCTATTTTAAATATAATGTAGTGGATTTATTAAAACAATGTAAAATGTCCTGATTCACCAGATTGCTGGCTTATTTTCCAAAGCATCACTCCGTATATTTCTAACTAGTATTTCCCACTAATGCTTGTCAATATACATAATCTGAAAGGAACAGAAAGGAATCTTGTCATTCCAAAGCCTCTTAATAATTAAATTTGCATTCTATCTAAGCACCAGAGTAACTGAAAATGTAAAGAATTCTGTGTACCTCCAAAAATCCATTTTACATGTTTAATTTATAATCAGAACCCAAAAAACTTTTTAAAAATTCCACCATTCCCCATGTACTTGAAAACAACTAGTCTCACAAAGTTAGAACTGGATAGAGATCAGACTTTTTTCTAGTTCTTCATTTCCACAATCATTCTCTAGCAAAGGGTAGAGGAAGAAACCTGAACAATTGTGGATTGCTCTTAAAATGTACAGACCTCTTTCAGCAAGGTGCTGCAGACTCCCAGCTTCCATTAAAAGTGATGACTGTTTTGCATTTCTCAAGATTAGACCCAAAGTATTCACACTGCAAATCCATCAGAGAATATCAGATATATATAATTTTTTTTTTAAATAACTGGCTGGATAAAAAGGGAATGTAAGTGAATGGACTTCTACAGTAAAAGAAGAGTTTATTTATAGCTTTAGAGAATTAAGCCATGGCAGCTGCTTTCTATTTTCATTAGTAATGATGTAAGAATGCCATCTCCCCTATAAAATATGTAGTATTGTTTTAAAGGAATGCTTTTTCATGTGTTAAAGGGAGAGAAAGCCCTAAATAGTTTGTTTAGTTGTCTTAAAAAGGGCTGGCTTTATTTTCATCACTAGTTGAAAAATTTAAACAACTGTGCTACCAAGAAGCAATTCTAGCAATGGTAACTCTCATCCCAGGAGGCCCTGGGAAAATATTCAACAATGTTCTTGTATGTTCTTTTTTTTTTAAGCAATTAGCTTTCCTAGTCCTTTCTTGCAAGACTGCTGCCTTTTCAAATGTTTCATGCTGCCAAAAACTGAGGATGGGCTTAAGATATCTATCTATCTATCTATCTATCTATCTATCTATCTATCTATCTATCTATGTGGAACTATTGAAAAGAAGCACTAGGACTACTTTCAAGATTTACATTGTTTTGTTTTATTTGTTATTTCACTTAGCCAAAAAGTTGTACAGTTAAAACATGTGGTAACTGTTGCCTGTTTAAGTAAACAAATCCTGTTTGCCTTACTGGTGAACGTGTCATCAAAATCAATGAATCTTCTCATTGTCATTTTGGTGAATAGAATTTTGACCAGTGTGAGAAGTTCGCCTTGCTTATTTTCTGAATTTTCTAGAGAATAAACTTATTCATTTATGCAAAAGGATGTATTTTAAATCTTTATATTAAATATAAATGTTCATGGTTCCTCCTGTATGTTTTCACAAATATACACTGAACTGAAGAAACTTTTATTACTTTCTCTGTTGGGCTAGCATATTAGAAGTGAAGCACAAAGCTCCACTTGTTATAGTCCCCTATGCTTGGTGCCTCCTTTTCATATTTTAGTTGAAACTCTCCAATGCAATTGCATACACATGAAAATAAATGAGCCTAGGTTATTGTCTGCAGTGGGGAAAAGAAAGTATAGAAGATGGGAGCTGAAGTGACCTTGCACTATTGAACTAGCCCCTTGTTGCTGGAACAATAGTGTCATTGTCACAGACTTATATTGGACCTAGATACCCTTCATTACCATAGAATGTTGAAAATGTTCATCATGAACTTTAAGAAAGACAGTGAACTGGAGAGTGAAAGAAGGAAAAGAATGTAAGATAACCATTACGTGTAAGCAAAACATGTTGGTTACTTATAATCTTCACTGTTGACTTAATCCTTGCTAAATCGTTCTTGACACATGATTAACTTACTTTCCTTATATATCCTCTCTGATTCTTCTTTTCCCCACCATAACTCCTATATTTCTTTATAACAGTACTAACTTAATGGTAATGCAAAAAGGATCTATCCAATTTCATTCATCCCTGCATTTCATCTTGGCTGAGGTGATAGTAAATGAGTAAAGGAAGAAATAAGCCACAAGCAAAATTTACTGACGTGCCTAAAAGACTTGGGCACTTAGTCACTGCATTTTCAGAAGTAAATTAGCAACTTAGCAGCCTCTCATTTAACGTCCGTGGGTGGACTAAAACTTTGAAGTCACTCAGAGACTTCTGAAGATTTTGCTTCTTGCCTAGACTAGGAAAATGCTGTAAGAATATTGTTAGAGAAATGCTTCAAAACTCCATAGACAAGTCACAATGACTTCAACCAGTGTCAAAATAAAATAAAATAAAAAACCAGGTAGGGAATATTGAATTTTAACTTGATAAACTTAAAACAGATCATGTAATCATTTAAATAAATAAAAACTATATTATAAGTCACCTTCTCTACATTAGACATTTAAGCATAGTTAGTTTGAATATATTGGCCAAGCACACGTTCCATTTCTACAGGGAGAACTGTTGTTTTCCTGGTAGAAACCATAAGTATACAGACATTCCAACGTTTTCTCCCAAAGCAAAAATGGCCATTCTGGGAGAAAAATAACTTAATTTGAACTATCAGGTCATCCCAGTCTAGAGCAGGCACAGGGGGAAGCTACTCCTGCCCCTCCCAGACTCCAGCTGCTACCTGCTGGCTCCTCACACACTGGAGTCCTGAGTATGAGAAGCAGGCAGGAGGCTTTGTCCCAGTACTCCATCCACTCAGCTCCCTGCCTGCTTCTCATTCTGCAGTCCCTGGAATAGAAAAGGTGGCAGGGGGCTGAGCAAAGGACGTGACACCACAACCTTCACTCCAGAGTCCCTGGAGTTCCCCAAGTGAGGAGTGGTGTTGCTGCTCCAACCCATTCCCTTCCCCCACCTTCCCAGGAGTACTGAAACATCCTTTACTTTTCCCAGGCCAGGATCACCCTGGGCTTGGGGAGTGTAACAGGAAGCCCAGGGACTCCCTGTTACTATGGAGAGGAAGCTGGCAGTGGGTAAGAGTTCAGGTGAACTAGGCTGCTCACCAAAGAGCAGCAGAAGGACAGCCCACCTGGATCCTAGGCTGGAGAGGTGCTTATTGCTGAGGTAGCAGCACTATAGTTGTCCCATAGGGCAGGGCAGGATGAGGACTGTGGCTAGCTGCAAGGCAAGCTGTACCACAGTAGTACTGGGAAGCAGGGTAGCTAGCTCCTACTGCTGGGAGTGGCTCTGTAGCTAGTTAGCCTAAAGAAAGACACCTGTAGTGCTTGGGTGGGACCTAGGTCCATGACCCCAGGACTTGAGCCCAGGAGGCAGTCTGTCCCTGCAGGCTGCTAGGGAAGGAGATCCCCTATGATGACTGTGACTGGGATATAGCTGCTCCACCACCAAGGAAGAGTTCAGTGCTATGCCTATGTGGAGAGACTGCTGGAGACTTTGCAACAGGTAGAGTACTAAAAAGGAACTGTGAGTTGCCTGTGAACTGAACTTTCTCATGCAGCCAGAATGCTTGGTTTTGATTATAGCTGGAGGAATGAATTTTTCTGTTAGTATTTGCACTGTTGGACCAGGCTTGGGACTGGTCAGGCAAGGAGGTCCCAGTAGTGCCCAGGGCATGAGCAAGCTTGAGGCCCATCAAGGATGGGGCTCCAAGTGACAGTATGCTGCAAGAAGGGGAGAACCAGGGACAAGTGCCCAGCATGATGAGAAGTGGAGAAGAAACTAAGACTAGGCCAGATGCCCAGCACCCAAATGAGGTGGAGCCAGGGTCAGGAACCAATGGCCCCAAGATGGGCAGAAACTAAGGCCAGAGGCCTGCAGCCCAAGAAAGGCAGGGGCAAGGACCAATGGGCCATAGCTCTAGGTGGGGCAGAGACTGATCAGAAGTTTATATGCCTGGCTGGATGGTGAAGAGTTGGGGGCTGAAGGCCCACTGAACTGATTGATTGTTGATACCTGCGAGGCATGGGCATGGCTAGAGGGGAGGTCGGAGGCCATGGATAACCAGTAGGATGTGACATGAACCAAGATGTTGTACGGACAAGTAGGGCAGCTCCCCACAATTCCTTTTTCTCTTAAAGTATCATCAAAGGCATGGTAGATGAGTAAACATCTTTACCAGTGACTTGGAGGAGGGAGTGGAAAGCACAATGATTAAGTTTGCAGATGACACCAAGCTGTGGAGAAATGCGGGCTCATCTGAGGACAGGGTAAGGATCCAGAATGACCTTGACAGGCTGGTCCTATGGTCTCAGCACAATCAGATGAGGTTCAATAGAGACAAGTGCTGGGTCCTTCATCTGGGTAGGAAGAACCCTTATCATGACTATAGAATGAGTGGTGGTCCTCTGGCTGGCACTGCATCTGAAAGCCACCTGGGGGTGACAATCAACTAGAGGATGAATATGAGCCATCAGTGTGATGAAGTCACCAGCAGGGCAAATAGAACTCCAGTGTGCATCAGCCAACCCATGGCTAATAGATCCAAAGAGGTGCTCCTCCCCCTCTGTTTGGCATTGGTGAGACCATAGCTGAAGCACTGTGTCCAGTTTTGGGCTCCGCACTTCAAGAAGGATGTGGATAAGCTTGAAAGGGTACAGAGAAGGACCACCCGTAGGATCAGGTGCCTGGAGGATAGGCCCTATGAGGAAAGGCTCTGGGAACTGGGTTTGTTCGGCCTTAGTAAGAGAAGACTGAGAAGTGACGTGATAGCCACCTATAAGTATGTCAGGGGCGAACACCAAGATCCAGGGGAGCAACTCTTTAGAAAGGCACCCCTTGGGAGGACAAGGTCCAATGGGCAAAAGATAATTGAGGAAAAATTTAGGCTGGACATAAGGAAAAACTTCTTTTCCATAAGGGTATCTAGAATCTGGAATACACTCCCAGTGGATGTGGTGCAGTCGCCAACCCTGGAGGTGTTCAAGAAGAGGCTGGACAAGCACCTTATTGAGCTTGTTTCAGCCCAACTACCTCCTGCCCATGGCAGGGGATGGGACTTGATGATCTTACAGGTCCCTTCTGGTCCTATATGATTCTATGATTAAAAAGGAAGAGACCCAAGACCAAGAGGCAGAGGCTGAGAGGTCATCAGGGAGAAATCCTACCACCTCTGGCACCCAGCTCCATTACAGGGAGACACAAGGGGTCTGGGAAAGGGGGCAAGGGCAGGCTGAACACTTGTACTGCTTCTTCTCTGGAATCATTTCCAATAGAGGAAATATTCCATTGCTAGAAATAAACGCTTGTATGAGGCCATCAGCTAACATAAAGGTCCAAGAACATGTCAATTAAATGCTGCAACATTGAATAGTCTAAACCATCACAAAATCACTCTCAATTTTTTTCCATTTTTGGGAAAGTTTAGGGAGTTTTGTCATATAAACAAGCAACATAAATTATGCCATATATATATATATAGGTAGGTTTTGGTGTTAAAATATATATATATTATTATGTAGGTTTTGGTGATACACACACACACAATACATTCATCCTAATATGATC